CCCCCCGCCTCCCCGCCTAGGAATCAGACCTGCTGGCCGCTTCCAGAGTGCAGCGCCATGCCAGGACAGATAGAGACTAGTCTGCCTTAGCTCTGCAGCATCACTGACCAGAATTTTAACGTCCCGGTCGGCGGTGCTGACCGGAGCCACCAGGGTCGCTTTTCAAAAACTGGACACCTGCTCACCCTATTCAAGACCAGTTTGTTCTTGTGCCAATATTGTCCTTTAATTTAAATAGCTCTTCACCCTCCCATTAGTGTATTTATAGAGATCAATATTATCCCCTCTAACCCTTCTTTTTGCTTGACTAAACAAGCCATGCTCTTCTAGTCTCCTCTCATAAGATAGGCCCTCCAGTCCTCTGATCATCTTACTAGCTCCTCTCTGCACCTGTTCCAGTTTATATGTACAAAGAAACTTGTAGACCGTTTGTTATCCCTCTTCCTCACCCTTCATATGTCATTTCTCTTCTTATGTTGTAAGCTTTTTCAGGGCAGGGATGTTGTTTTTCTTTGTTTCTATAGTGTCTAACACTGCGGCCTCATTCATAGTCATATTCTTTAATCACAGAATAATCAACCATAAGGTCCAAAATAATAAACTCAACTTGAAACCACCAATATCCAGTCCTCTGGCCCTGATTCCATGCTTTCTCTCTGGCTGCACCCCTGCAGTTTCCTGCCTTTTTTATTTCTCAATATTAAATCACCTGCCTCTCTCAGGTGAGGCTCCTCTTGTAGTCAGGGCTGGCTTAGACTCAGGCTCTCCAGACACGGGCAAGTCACCCTGATACAGTGAACATGTAATTAAAGACAGCATCATAACACATATGCACAAGGTCACAGAATTAAGGTTGTGCAGGCAACCTTAATTCTGGCATTTACTAACTTTTGAGTGCTTGATTTTGCAATGTTAATTTTTTTATGTATTGTTTTCGTGAAATATAAACATGAGTCACCTTAACTAGAAATAACTTCAGCATCGCAGCATTTTCATATTAACAACAGTTGACAGTGCATGGTAATGTTGTCTAGCTATTGGAAATAACTACTGTAGCTCCTGTTCATTAGCATTTCAGAAGGAACTTCAAATAGACATACAGAAAAGATTTCATGTGTGTTAATTTTATTGAGAAGTGTGGAGTCAACATGAACAAGGATCATAAAAGGCCAGTTTTAACATAGATTTGTCATCAAGCAGGCATATTTGAAAAGCTGCTTTGAAATGTTTTACAGAATCCTGAGTAAGACCTTGTATCAAATCCACAGAAGGGTCACATTGAGGAAAACACAATATTAAAATATTCCGGTGTGTCTGGAATTTGTTTTTAATGAGACATGTAGAAATAATTTACTTTGGGCCAACTTACACATACATGCCCTGGGTTCCATCTAGTAGGCAGGTGTCAGAATACAGTTCACAAAATTTTGTTTCATATAAGCAAGGAAGATATTTTAACTATAACCTATATGTTACAAGGTGGAGCCTTCCTGGAGCACCCTCCTGAAACAGGCTGGGGCATGACAAATAACTGCCTCAGTTTTCCTTTGGAATTCACCCATACAAAGGAATATTGTCTCTTGATGGCAAATTCAAACTCTTTTATTTATAAACTGCCATAGTGCACAGATCCCTCATAGTAAAAACAATTTCTTTCAAATCCCCAAAGTAATACAAGATTATAACACAGCAGCTCTTCAATCCCTTTTAAATGTGACCATTCCAGATCACCCACCAGAGTCATTGATCATTCTGTGCCAGTGCCTTGAGCACCTATTCCAGGGTCTCACTCTCCAGGCCATCAAATTGAGAGTTACAAGACCCGCTTCTCTCCTGCGATACATTTCCCATAGCCCCAAGTCAGGTGTCCCACTCAGCCAGGCCTCCCTGCCTAACTCTCCTCCTGAGATTCAACATTAACCCGCTTCATCCCCTTCTTCATCAGGGCCTCTGCATGAGCTTTCCTTTAACTTGGCAAGGGTTCCCCAGCTCTGGCCAGTCCTCATCATTAACCTTTTGCTCTTCCCAGTGGCTCTCTGCACCAGTTGGCTGCTGCTGCTGCTTCTCCTCCTACTTCTCCCCTCTCCCACCCCGGTCTCTCCTTTCCCTCCTCAGGGAGCTCTTACCCAACCTTCTCTGTTTCTCTGTCAGTGCTTTCAGCCAGCTCTGACTCACCAGGTCTCTCTTCCAACTCGGAGCCAGGTGCTCGCCTTTAAGCCCAATTGGAGTGAGCTGACAAGTCACAGGTGTACTGGCCTCTTTCCCTTTAAAGGGCCAGTGACACCCGTGACACTATTCTTTTCTCCTCTGTCAATAACTCTCCTAGGAGTTCTCAAACTGTGGTCTGTGGAACGTCACTTGGGTCCTGCCAAGAGCTGGTGCTTAGGCTTCTAATTTCTATTGATTTCAGTAAAAGACATTAAAAGAGAACTAAAAGTAGACTAAATGGGTGCCTCATATTAAATTTCCATGTCAGTGATTGCTGTAGTCATCCAGAGGGATGTTGTGCAATCACAAACATAAAGGAAGGTGGTTGTCACAGTCATGACTGGAAAGGGATGGTGGTCTATGCTTTGGTGAATGGGAGAGGAGGTGGTCCTCTCGATGATCTCTATTAATATGTGATCCACATCCTGAAAGTGTTTAATAACCTCCAAGCTAAGGCCTTTGAAGATTATTCAGATTCTAAGTCAGTGAGCATTTGCAATGTGTAACCTTTCAGGTTAAACATCAACTTTCTCCCCTAATAGATATAGCTAAACCCAAAGTATTTCTGTTGAAAGATGTTTTCTGGGACAAGACTATGTCATGTCTTTAATGAAGGTTGCTCCTGATTAGATCTATGGAATTGTATTTATCAAACTGAAAACGCAACACATTTTGTCTTTTTGTTTTTGTTTTGTATTTTAGTTTTCAGGTCATTTGCAAACCAGTTCTGTTAGGTGCATAACTCTTCAATATTCACCACATATTTCAGGCTAATTCTTTGTGAACTGCTCACTTTTAGTATTCACTATTTGTGGCCCTGTGATTGGTTAGGTGTGTGCTGTTTTTTTCAGCTTCCTGGTTTAAAAACATGTTTATAAAGTTAAGCAAGTGTTTAAGTGATTTGCTGAATCATGCCCTGAATGACAGAATCTTTTCAGTAGAAGAATAATGTAGAACAAATGATGAATAACAATTCATGACATTTTATAATGAATATTTGAAATGCTGGATACTCATAAACATGTTAATAATTTAATGGCAGTCACTAATATTCTTGCCAATAGTATGATCCACAAACAGCAGCAAATCAAAATCAAACTGCTTATTCACAAATCTTTTTTCCCATTACTCAACCAGCTCTAGTACTGATAGATGAATTACATCAACTGTGCAGACATTAAAAAATGTAGCTATATAAAATGTCAATGTTGTAACTCAGTTGAAGTTCCTTTTATGTTAGAATATCACTAAGTTTGACAAAAAATTGTATTTTGATCATAACAACAAGATATTTTAAAATATTGGCATGAGAAACTTCAAAAGCAATAAATACTAAAATTCAAGAATACACCTCTACCCCGATATAAGGCGACCCGATATAACACGAATTCGGATATAACGCAGTAAAGCAGCGCTCTGGGGGGGCGGGGATGCGCACTCCGGCGGATCAAAGCAAGTTCGATATAACACGGTTTCACCTATAACGCGGTAAGATTTTTTGGCTCCTGAGGACAGCATTATATCAGGGTAGAGGTGTATGTCAAAATGTTTATTTTTCAACATCTCAAGCTTTACTACTTTTAAAAAAAAAATACCAAAAGGATCAACTTTCTACCTAGAGTTTTATTAATTTATCAATTTCCTACAAACCATTCATTTGTTAGAACCTCTTTTTTGAGGTCTGGCATTTCAAAAAGATTATCCAGATATAAAATTTTAAATAAACAAATCTCTAAAGATGAGATGACATTGCTGTTTATGAGACATTAATATGAGAACCAGGTATTGTTCCCTTGGGAAAACTCAGGCTTTTAGTAAATCAAGAGGCTATATTAAACATTTTTGAAAGCTCTATACAGTGAAGTCAGTGGGATTTTTGCTGTTGATGTCAATGTGAAAACCTTCAAGCCCCTTTTTAAATTTTTAGCCAGGAGTGCTGAAGACTGCCTGTCTTTACAGTCTGAATCCAGTTCACATGAAGATATAAATATATGTTAAATGTGCACACTGTGTATTTTGGTCAGTAACTGCAATACCAATGCTATTAGAGATGTGGATAGAGGTAAATTTAAATGTTAATAGACTTTTAATTGTAAAGCACTTTCATAAGTTTAACCTCAAACTCATTTTAATCTAAAAAGAGGTCAAAGAATTAACATTCATATTTCAGCGGCTGACAAGAGAGTAGTGCTAGTTAATTGGTTTAGTAATAACCATTGGTACTGTGGTGGCACCTTACCGTAGTTTTACAAGGCTTCAGCGAAATCTTGCAAAATCAAAAAGACTATTTTCAAAGGTTAAAGTAGACAGAGAGGTGAAGCAGACAGATACTGATCTCATAGTTAGACAGTTGCCAGTGATTTGATTATGTACACAAAGTTTGTTAGAAACCGTGTGAGAACCAATTATTATATAATCGATTTAGCCTTTCGAGTCAGTTCTAAGTAGTCTTCCAAAGTCTCTCTCAGGGGATTTTACAAATAGTTCTTTTTAGTTTGGATTGTTTAGTTTTTAATTTTGTAGTGGATAGGTATAGGTCAGATCAGGCCAGGTTCTAAAGAACTGTTTTGGGGGGGGGGGGAAAACAGCCTAAGTGAACAGATCTCTGATAATATGTTGTAAATATATATTATTTTTACAGAATGTAATTTTTTTATCAATAGACTGCTGTAATTCTCTCCTAGGGTTACAGGCTTGGTGTCTTGTCACAAACAGAAAATAAGATGTACTGTTATTGGATAAAAGTAACAATGATAATAAAACTGTATTCTCAACATTAATATTTTTTCCAGTCTAAAACATATATGTGCAGCTGGCAAGGAGTAACCCTGTGTTTCACAGTTGACTTTGCCTTGGGATTCACCTGTTTTGACAGTAAAACAAAGGTAAGAGGAAAAGGAGCTAAAACATAATCTGTTCTATTCTACTGTTAATGAGTTTGGTTTTAATAATATTTTACAGTTACCTAGCGCTTTTGATCCCAAAGCACGTTACAAAGTCTGTTGATAGGGTCCCACATTGAAATGCACCCAGCTGTGAATTGGAAAAGGATAGCCCGCCTGTGCCATAAGCATGGAAGGGGGCATTTTGGCCAGTAACACCAAGACAAATGATTATTTTTACAGGAAACAAACAAAAGAAAAGCCATTGGATTTTTAACCCAGATGTCAGTTTCTAAGGTTTCACCCCAAAAAGAAACACAAGATGGACAGCGGTTTACTGACCTTGAGAAAATGAAGTGGTGTGTGATTTGAACCTGTGTGTTTAGGACACCATAAGACAATTAAAAGACTGAATTGGGCTTAGCCCTATGTGGAGTTTCAAGAAGCAAGGAGAAGATGTAAGAAACCTTCCTTTCCCTTCTAGCTTTGCAAGACCCAGCAAAGGCTGGTCCTTGTGCTCTATTGATTCTGGTGTTAGATTTCCTAATGTGGATGGAGAAGGGAGATGGCAGTGGCTGTCTACTGAAGCTGCAGTAGTGGAGAGAGAGCCACTTTCTACATCTGCAGAGGATGCAAAGCCAGCAATTCAATTAAAATTTAATGTGAACCTTATTGCATTTTGTGAGCGAACTCCTGAGCTTAGATAAATTGGTGTAAGTCCTTTTACTTTAACAGAACTATGCTGATTTACACCAGCTGAGAATCTGTGTTTTTAGCAACACAGTAACTCTGGCAATAAATCAATCAATCAACTTTTAACCTTAACACTGGGGGCTTACTCTTAGAACAGAGCTATATTTTTTTAAACATGTGTGAAGGAAGTTGATCGAATGATTTAGAGGAAAGCAAAAAAATGCCCTTCTTTGAAATATGGACCAAAGTATTTATTTTTAGAATATGTATCTGTAATTTGAAAGTGGCTTTGCTTAAAGACTTCATGATTAGGATCTGCTCTCATTGATGCTGGTGTAAATCTGGAATAATTCCATAGCATGTGCAGTATTATTTACTAGGGTATAAAATTTCAAGAGCTGTAAATTCACATTCTTCTTTCTTTCTTGCAAGAGTGTTGGTATTAATTACATTGCATTGGCCTTCACAAATACATTCTACAGACCTTTCTTATTTCAGCAGTTTCAGTTGGCTATGGCTTTTCTGTACACTTCTTATGCTAAATTGTTGTCATAGTGCTGTTAGGTACTTTCAAACAGATTCTGCATTCCGCTCCACAGTTGGCTGCAATTCAGTGAGAAACAAAGTGATTCCTGTAAAAGTAAAGTTTGGAGAGCATTTCGGGATCCTTTGGATGAATATTACCAAATAAATAAAATAAATATTTATAGGTTTTTTTAAATAATAACCTTAGCCTTTGTTTTGCTGTCCTATATTCTGAAACGGAACATTAGTGTGAAATGAAAATTAAATGCCTTCCTGAAGAACTCTACCCAGTACATTACAAACATCAACAAGTCACTTGGGGAAATGGTGACACCTGGCTATATTTTCCTGTTTAGTTTCAATGAGTTTTGGTATGACCGTCTCCTACTTCCACTAACTAAGAGGACAGGGAGCCTTTTTAAAAAATTAAAAAGCAACAACATCTAAAATAACTGTTTGTACAGTCAAAGGAGAACTGTCCGCAAATCTCAGGCAAGACTTTTTAAAATAGATTAATTTAGAATAGAGAGCTGCAGGTTTGATACAGAAAAATGGCTGACCTAATATAGAATCATTGAATCATAGAAGATTAGGGTTGGAAGAAACCTCAGGAGATCATCTAGTCTAACCCCCTGCTCAAAGCAGGGCCAACACCAACTAAATCATCCCAGCCAGGGCTTTGTCAAGCAGGGCCTTAAAAATCTCTAAGGATGGAGATTCCACCACCTCCCTAGGTAACCCATTCCAGTGCTTCACCACCCTCCTTGTGAAATAGTGTTTCCTAATATCCAGCCTAGATTTCTCCCACTGAAGTTTGAGACCATTGCTCCTTGTTCTGTCATCTGCCACCACTGAGAACAGCCGAGCTCCATCCTCTTTGGAACCCCCCTTCAGGTATTTGAGGCTGCTATCAAATCCCCCCTCACTCTTCTCTTCTGAAGACTAAATTATCAAATTATCCCATTCGTTTTCAAGAGCAAAAAGGGAAACATTACCTTAATCAGTGTTTAATGGCAGATCAGAGTACCTGATCAATACATGCTGTCCTGACTAATTCAATTTATTAGGGGGAAAACGTTGCAGAAAAATGCTCAACCTCAACAGCAATCTCACATCGACACATTAACAGAAAGTACAAGACTCTTATGACAGTAAGGGAAACTAGAGGGCCTTGCTGGGAACAGCTTGCCATGTTGTCTGCATACAAATCTGTGCAGAAGGTAGTTGGAGTCACAATTCTATTTCAACCTTAAGCATTGGCCATGAGTGTTCTGTGGAATTGAGCCGAGGCCTTTTGCATAGTCATCCCTCTCCTTCAAAAAATGTCCCCTTTCCCCTACATCCTTTGTTGCCTTCAGAGAGACTTCTCATCAGCCCAATCCTGTTTCATGCTAGGGTCCCTGAGACTCCCTTCACTGGGGTTGTCAGGTGGTTCTACATGGTGGTTCCTCAATCATTTAACTTCAGGAAGAGGAAAGATGACAGGAAAGGGCCACTGCTCCCCACCCCAATCCAGTGTTTTTCTGCAGACAGGAAATATCGGCTCCCCATAGGAAAAAAAAAAGCATTTCTTTGCCCACAGTTGCTGATTTTGCTGAGGCAGCAATGTATAGCAACAACTAATCTGTAATATGATAGTTTTGGAACATATTCAGGTTGTCCAGCTACTTTGTACTGTGGTTTATGAGCCTTCCCTAGTATATGCTTTAGAGCAGTAGAGCTATTGTGTTAGGAAATCTAGGGTACTACCTACTGCTGGCTCAGCTGAGCTGGGGGGGGGCAGAAGGAGAGAATGAGGATTTTCTGCCTCCTCGCAACACTTTTCTGATCAAGGTCCTTATCTAGTACCCTTCCACTCCCATTCAAATGATTAGAGACCATTCAGAGCCCTGTGAAAGCCACCAGATCCCCACACCATATAGATAAGTCTGGTATCTTTTTCAGTTGACGTTTGATCAACTTGACAGTTAATCTTTGTCCATCGCTAGGAGGAGCTTATCACCCAGTGTGACCAATGCAAACCCCATACCATCCCGAACCCAAGAACGTGGCTCTATCCTTTTCTTATTCTTCCTTTCCTATATCTCTTCCTCCAGTTAAAAAAATATAGTACATGTAACTAACAAAGCTGTGCCAATTCTTCACCAGGTTGATTTGCTTGTGTGTTCTCATTCCCTAACCTTTGTCTGTTTTTTTCTTTATATTATAAGCCTTTCAGGCTTATGTCTCTTTCTATATTTGTACAGCGCCCAGCATGCTGTAGCTCCAATACTGATTGGAGCATTTGGGCACTAAGATAATATAAATATTTCCTTATCATCATCAAGGGAATATGAGGACTCTGATGTAATAATTAACAACAATGTTAAGCAATCGTTTCTTTAATTACTCATTTAAGGGAAGCTGAGACCCTGCTCTCTAGTAAGCAAGCATCAATCATCTAAATAACTTAACGCTCCTCTTCTTGATTTTACTAACCACATGTATCAGGAGTCCAGTTTGCATGGAGAGTAGTTCAAAGCTATCCAGTACATCCATCTTCTGGGTGAGTGAAAATAATCTAACCTCTGCTGAAGAGGACTTGGCATTTCTTCCTGCTCTAATTGGAGCTGCAACCACAGAGCAGCCATCCGGGTCGAAATCCAATCAGTATTATCTTCCAAATATTGAAAAATATTCACAGTCAAAATGTCTGCTGTTTCCAGGTGAGACATACTGCTAGTCCACAGGCAGGAAACATCTTTCAAATGTGGATTTTTTTAAACAGCCAGATTTAAAAAAAAATAAAAACACAGTTAACTGCTTTTCTGCCATTATTTCATTTTAAATGGCTTTCAAAGCATTCAACCGGGAATGATTCATGTTTCCTCCACCAGCTCCCAGGGATCTGGTCGCACCTCAGTGTGCATACACATTTCCATTAATGTTATTGGAGGTAACAGAAACATCAGAAGGAAATTGTACTCTGATTGTTTGGTTTCATTTTTTTACATTTCTGACTCCAAAACTAATGTGTGGAAAACATTTTGAGAAGCGCAGAAAATTACAGTGATTTTTAACAATTAATTTCCAAATGTTGATTTCAATAAGTCTCTCTTTGTAATCTTTAAAAATACCCCAGTAAACCCAGTGATTCACTTGTAGCATAGCTCCATGTATTGCTATGTAAGAAACCTGAGGCTGGCACAGACCTGGGGATTCTTATTTCTTGGCTTACGAATGACTGAATAACACACACTATAGAGCTTTGCATTTCTGTAGCACATTTCATCTAAGGATTTCAAACCACTTTTACACACTAAAATTAAGCTTTGCAATACTGGTGCAAGTATCATTCCCCTCATTGTACAGATGAGCCAAGGGAGGCTTGAGAGATTTAAGGTCTGTGGTGAAAGCTTGGCTCAGTAAAGTCAATGGCAAAACTCCCATTGACTTCAATAGGCACAGGATTTTACTCTGATCTCTGTACACCCTTACATGGGTAGGAAAGTACGAAAAATTGTATCTTTTTTGCTGTTATGTATGAAGTAGAGTAGATACATTGTATTTATTATGCAACCATCCTCTTGCCTAAAATATATTAATCCGTCATTTATTTTACATTACATTTAACTTCTCGATGTTGGATCAAAATTGCTCAATAATGCAAAGTTTTGGGTATAAGAGTGTAATGTCAAAGAGTCCTAATTAACATTTTTTTTTTTTTTTTTTTTTTTTTTTTTTTTTTTTTTTTTTTTTT